TACTATATTTATAATTAAATAAGTCTTGATATTGAAAAATGTCAGTTATCACCAAATTTATCAATCCTCAGATAGATTCAGTGTGGTTTCATTCAGACTTCCAGCAGATTTTGACTCTGTAAGTTATATGGAAGAACAAAGGCCTGAGGATAACCAGAACCCACCTCAGGAGCAAAGTGGGGGTAATTTGTGTTACCAGTTTGGAAAACTAAGTTAAAGACTCTATGAGTGAAGTCAGTGAGGCCTTGGCAGTGAGTTAGAGCAGAAGAACATAACAGATACGCCAGAAGTAGACCCATCAGTTTGAACCTTGGTTTGCGCTACGGGTGACACCTCCCTACTTCTGATTTGAGGTTCTTTTTTGCTTATGAGTTTAGACACGGAAAACTAAGATTATAACTTGAGTCTGCATATCTCTTTAACTAAGAACCTGAATTTGTGGCGTTGACTATCCCAATCATGTATTTTAATAAAATATAACTACATAGAAATCAACCAACACTGCATGTATTATCAGAGTTGTCCATCTTAAGTGTTTTAACTCAAATCATATGATTCAAGTCTTAATTAAGTTAGCTACTAATTTGAAAAAAGAAGATAGGTTTCCTTAAAAATCATGCAGCTAACTAGCGTCTGATAGAGTTGTAATTTCAATCAAGGATTCTAAAATCCTTGCCCAAGTCGGGGAGTATCTGTGACCAAAAAAGTGGTACCATTAATATAAATAGAGAATGTCTTGAGCACTGATTCGGGTAAGATTTTGAACGTGTTTTTAAAATACGTTTAACGGGAGGTTGGTGTTGGGGCATCAGAAATGGGAACATCTGATAGAGAATGACTACAGCTCAGGGTGGTCAGAGCCACCTTACTGTCGTTAACTTAGACGGATTGTCACATTCTCCGGGTGCCACTGCAGAGAGATGAGGAAGATGCCAGATTTCAACTTTGGAACATCCAGTTAAAAGATGGGGAAAAGAAAAGGATATATCACTATCTGTACTTCCTTTCTCTCTTTTGTGTCTCTCTCACTAGAACTAATAAAACAAAAATTCCTAAAATAATTCATTAAAAGAGTATTTTAAAATTCTATCGTCCTATCTATATTTAATGTTAAACTATTTAAAAACATTTTTGTCTTCCTCTGTAGCCATCTTTCAACAGTTCTGGGAAACAAGTTTGATCACGGCGCAGAGGCCATTGTACCTACACTTTTTAATCTCGTCCCCAATAGTGCAAAAGTCATGGCAACTTCTGGATGTGCAGCAATCAGGTTCATCATTCGGGTAGGTTTTTCCATTCTTCCGCTTTATTTAAATGGACTTGAAGTCACTGGTGAACTTTGTTTTCTTTAACCCCTAAAGAAAAATAGCTATTGAATTATTTTCCTGATAACTAAAGCAATGCATGGTCAATATAGAACATTTAAGTAATACAGAGGATTACAAAATAAACATGCTTGCTTACATATTTACACGTACACGTGTGTACATGGAAGTATATACATATACGTGTGTTTATAAAATCACAAGTGTTGCGGGTAGTAATGAAAGAGGATAGGCAAGTTCTTTATCTCATCATCTGTATCTTTTCTTTTTATCATGTGTGTATAGTGAAGATGTGCAAAAGAACAGACTTCTAAAAATTAATCTCTTTTGAGTTCTGCTCTTCTACAGCTAATCACTATTAGCCATTTAGTGTGTACTTTTCCAGACTTCTATACAAACATATCTGCTAACCAATCCTGTTACCATTGAGTGGATTCCATCTCATAGCGACCCTATAGGACAGGGCAGAACTGCTCCGTAGGGTTTCCAAGGCTACAGTCTTTACGGAAGCAGATTGCCACATCTTTCTTCTGCAGCAGCTGGTGGGTTTGAACCACCCAACTTTTGGTTAGTAGCTAAATTCTGCTTGGCCATTGAACATTATGATAGTGCTAGAATTATCCGCTAATATTTTAGTTAAGAATTTTGCATTTGTTTTAATGAATGAGTCTTATAATTTTCTGTATTTTCCTGTGTTTTACACATTTTGTTGTATTATTTTGTTATTTTAGTTTGATGATTTTTGAAATTATCTAGTAATATTTCCAATGTTTTAGATTATAATACAGATTTTAAGAGTCTTTGTCATAAGGTCACATACCATATTTTCATAATTTAAAAAAACTCTACCAGTTTTTTAATATAATTGTTATGCATTTTTTATACTTGCCAGGGACATTGTTGTAAGTCTTTTATAAGCTTGAAGTTTTAGTTTTACTGCTTTCTAGTGTGGTTCTTTAGTTTTTTCTAATTCTTTCGTTTCTGTATTTAAGTTTCCTAACTCCTTTCTTCTACCTGCTTTTTGGCATCCTTCATTTTTTTCTAGATATTTGTGGTCTGTCTAATCATTGGGATGCTGGAAAGCCAAACTCAGAAGAAGATTATAACTTTACAATATTAAATTAGAAAAAGCTATGACAGATTACCTAAGGATATACCATTCTCTTTAATTTATATTTCTAGATCATTTGTAATAGCCATTTCAACTTTTGAATTATGTAATAATATTGTTTTCATTGTCAGATGGTTCTTTTGTTCTTATCCTCATTATTTTCTAATTTCATGACATTCTGCCCAGAAAATTTGATTGCATGATTTCTTTTTTTGTGATTGCCTTGAAATTTTGTTATGTACTAGTTCATCATCACTTTATACTCGTAGGCCTTTAGCATTTGCGGAGTATGGAATTCACTGGTGGTGTATAAAGTTCTTTATTCATCGCTAAATCAATCTTAATATTTATGTTGTTCAAATTCTTTATAGTCTCGTTTTATCTGGCCAATTCTGATTACAGGTTTAATCAGTTTCATTTTCCTAACAGTTTTTGCTTTATGTATGGCCACAGCTTTTGACTATTAGCATCTTGAAATGCTATTTTTTCTACTTCATTTTTTATTTTCATTGTGCTTTCTTTTTACCTGTTTCTTGTTTTCTTTTCATCCTTCTGTAATTTAGAAGTTTCGTATTCTTTTCTATGTCTGTTACTTTCTCTCCTTTTCAAAATATACATTTTACCTTCTTTATGCCATAATTTTTTTCCTAACCATTGCATTCAATTTAACAAAGACACGTTTATTTTCAAGCAGTTGGAATTAACTGTAGCGTATTACTGCTTTTATTCCTGACTGGTGTTTATTGGTGTGCTCTCACTTCTCGTTTTTGAACTGGTTTTGGGTCGTTTTTGTTTGACTTCCATGTTTCCTCCTTGGATGTTTTGAAATGGCTCTTCTTCGCCCCCACACAAGAACTAAAGTTGACCGCTGTGTTTTAGGTTCACAGCCCTTTTACCTCAGAGCTGTCTCCTTACCTGTTTTTATGTTTGTCTCTAAGGGAGATACCATTTGATACTTTTATAGTCCCCCCCCCACGACACACACAAAATCCAACATTTGTTGCTTCTCTTTCCTTTGTCCAGTTTTTTTCTTCTGTTACTCTTTTTATAAAAATTTTGAAACTCTTAATGTCATTTATTATTTCTTGGATAATTTTTTGTCTCTGACTTACAGAGATGAATGTGCTCATGAAGAATTCTTTTAACTTCTACTTACTTGACAGTACCCGTTTACCATTCGTAGACTTTACATTTTAGGCTTCGCTTCCCAATTGCTTGTTTTTCATGAGTTTTGTCTCATGTTTCTGACATAATATCCATCATCTCATTGAAAACCGCATCAGATGTTCTAAGTCCCGTTTCTGTGTTTCCTTTGGTAACCAGAGAGCTGCTTCTTGAGATTGCTCTGCCTGGTTCCTGACACTCTTCTTCATTCTAGAGAAGCTGTTTTTCAGTTGTGACTTGTATTAATAAAGTCAAGTCTAAATTGTTACGCCTTAGTGTTTGGTTGAATTCTTTGTGTCTAACTGTGAGGGTCACGTTCTGTTTCTGTTTGGTGCTGCTCCTGCTGCATGTGGTATAGCAACAGTTAGGGGAGTGTCCCTCCCATCCCAGCCGTTATGCCTGGCGTGGATAGTTAGCAGTGGGGCTTTTGTGTGTGTATGTGGTGGGGGGGATGGTATGAGAGACAGGAGGGGACTGGTGGGTGAGACTTCCTGTATGGACTGTTGTGGCTACGGGATCTCCACGGGCATTACCTCGATGTTGTTGTTTTCAGGTACCGTTGAGTTGGTTCTGACTCATAGTGACCCTGTGTATAACAGAATGAAACACCGCCCGGTCCTGCACCATGCCCACAATTGTTGTTATGCTTGAGCCCATGGTTGCAGCCACTGTGTCAGTCCACCTCGTTGAGGGTCTTCCTCTTTTTCGCTGACCCTCTACTTTACCAAGCATGATGTCCT